AGCCACAGGTGATGTCAGCAGAGGGAAGGGGAAATACTGGTCTGCAGAAGACATAGTATCTCTTTGAGCTGTGCTATAACCTAATTGTGCAGATTTCACCCAGAGCTGGGGAGGACATTGGTAGAAGAGTACGTATTCAGCATCACAAGCCCTGATCTATTTCAAGCACAACACACACATCACCACTGCACGCTCATGTGTACACTGAGCCTGAGTCTAACATGTTCCCTGTCTCCATCACCCTGAACCTCTCTAGGCAGAAGACCCTGGAGCCCATTCAGGCTCAATGGTGGGCCTGTCCACATATGCTTGGGCTGGCTCAGGATGCCCTGGCAGCCTAGGTATCTGTATATTAGGTCTGTGTCGTGAACCCAAGGGAACTGGGACTAAGCATGGTAGTTCTAGCCCTCTGTATTTAGGCATTTGGTACCAGGATGAAACAGAAAATACTTACAGGTAATGTTCAGGGAGAATGGGTCCCTTTTGGAGTCCCTCACTTGGTTCTAGGTTCACATTCATAGGGACCTGTGTCAGTCCTCACAACACTGAGTAAAGTGAGAGTCCTGTTGTCCTTCAGCCTGTCCTCTCCTGAGAGGGTTTGTTCATTTATCCTCCACAGGTAGGCTGTATTCTGAGTCTTAGGCTCACACATTAATGTTACTGAGTCATCACCGTCCAAGGGATTGGAATTGTTGGTTGTGATGTTGGGCTTGGGTAGCAGTGCTGTGCTCACCACAGAGAGATATTTGCCCTGTGTTTTACTTCTGATTCTTGCAAAGGCCTCTTACAACCAGAGATAGTCTCTTAACTCCCAGCTTACCCAGATCCTTAAAGAATCAGGCAGGAAGTAAGTTAAAGGCAGATGGAGTGGCTGAGTGCTCAGAGATAATGGGGCGTCCTGTGCTGTGTATGGAAGAAGCAAGGACTTTCTCATGAGTGAACTGAGCTGTGGTGTTTCGTGATGTTCAGACTCAAGATTTAGAATGAGAGACCTCATTTTATTTCCTGGTCTTCACTGAACCATTGCCTGCCTTGAGACACAAGGATCAGGTCCCTCCAGCTACACTGACCTCTCCTGCTGAGTGTAGACCTGAGCTCTCCAAGCCTTTGCTCTTCAGGGCTCTCCTACAGATAAGTTATGATTAGTCTTCCCATTGAGCTTCCCTGAGAAACCTGACAGACTGTGAGAGATCTCACACAGCTCAGGATGTGCCTGATATTTAGGTCATGCTGGGTCACAGGTAGACTATTCTTGTCAGGTGTTTGATTTTGATTGACATGAATCTGGGAGCCCTATAAGAATCCTGAGTCTATGAAATGATCTAGAGGAGTGAAGGTCACTTAGTAGGTCTCCATGATGGGGACCTGGAGATGTGGTTGTGGACCGATAGCTTGTGCCACTGATGGCCTATGTGACCCTGACTCAACCACTGTGTTTCCTGTCTAAGTTTTCCTATAATAGGAAACATGGTAAAAGATCATTGCTAGGCCTGCAAGTTAACCATAAATGTGAACAATGACCTGATCTTCCACGAAGCAGTGTCTATTACTATTTTTCTACATGAAATAATCGCTCAACAGCGGTTGGAGAGATGGCCGAGTGGTTAAGAGCACTGGCAGTTCTTCTAGAGTTCCTGATTTCAATTCCCAGCAATCCCATGGTGGCTTACAACCATCTATAATGAAATATGGTGTCCCTTTCTGGTTGTCAGGCAAAACATTGCATAATAAATAAATAATTTAATAAATTAATAATAATTAAATAAAATAAATAAATAAATATAAAATGAGGCTAAACAGATTGTGGGAAGGAAACACCAAGAAGCTTCAGTAGCACGATGTAAATTACATATAAGAAAGAGGAGCAGGTTTGAAATAAACCATAGAGAATTGTAGTCAATGGCCATGTATATTTCAGAGTAGCCAAGACAAATTTCCAATATCTTACCATAACAAATGGGAGATAAATGGGGTAGTACATGTTAAATAGTTGACTTAATCATTCTGTCTTGTACACAGACATCAAAGATTACACTCTTTCTCCAGACTACTTTCAGTTTGAAGGCAACTTAAAGCACTATTAACAAGTAATAGACCATGGATCAAGAAAGTGGAGAGATCATTTTCAAATGCCAGAGAATGTTATGTATTGTACATCTGAACATGGGCCAAAAAAAATAAAGAACTCTCACAGTTCAACAATAGTAACAATAAAACCACAAGCAGCTCAATCCAAAGAGAAGGAAAAGACCTGACATTTCTTTTAAAGAAAGAGGAACAGATGACCAACAAAGACAGGCTGCTTAGTTTTTGTCTATCTGATAGACTAAATTCACATGGGAAGAGAAAACCTCAGTTGAGGAATCACCTCCACCACAATGGTCAGCAAGGCTTTTTCTTAATTACTGTTTGGTGGAGGAGGACCTGGTGCTATCCCCTTGCAGAGAGCCCCTTTCTTATGGGCTCTGTAAGAAAAGTAGCTGAGCAAGTTGTGGGAGCATGCCAGGAAGCTTTCCCCATGGATCTTGCCTGCACTTCCCTCAATGACACACCCTGATCAAGACATTTAAGCCAAATAAACCCTAACTGCCAAGTTGATTTGGGTTGTGGCCGTTCAATACAGTAACTGGAAAGCTATTTAGAACTGCTATGGGTGCAAGGAGTGGTTACATACGCCTTTAATCCCAGCACTTGGGTGGCAGAGGCAGGCATATTTCTGCCAGTTTGAGAACAGCCTGGTCTACAGAGCGAGATCTAGGAAAGGCACTAGAACTACACAGAGAAACCCTATTTCAAAAAAAACTTAAGTTAAAAAAAAAAGAAGAGATCAGGCGTGTTCAGGGTGGTATGGCTGTAGACGACGTGCACGCCTTTAATCCCACCACTTGGGAGGCGGAGGCAGGCTGATCTCTGTGAGTTCGAGACCAGTCTAGGCTACAGAATGAGTTCTAGGAAAAGCGCAAAGCTACACAGAGAAATCCTGTCTCCAAAAACCAAAAGACATAAAACAAAAACTAATAGCTTTAATTTTTTTCACCAATTACAAAATTAAAATGGGGAAAATGGTACCATTCTCTTCTAGAATTTTTTTTGCCTTAGTGGTCTAAAGATTGTCTTGATCTCTGTGAGAGGTAGCCACTCAAGATTGCCTCTTAGAGAGGTAATGAAGCTCAGGCTATGAACACATGTCGGATAACTACATACCCCCAAAGATGATGCTGACCCTTCCTGAAAGTGGAGTCTCCAACTACCTTATCTTCGCTGTGGCATTTTTGAACTTGCTGAGATGCTCATCTTATTGACCAGTATAACATTTCCTAAGTCTACATCTTTGGTGGCAAAAGTTATAGTGTGGTAAGACTCTACTCATAAATACAGCTTTTTATCAGAATTTGATAAAACCTTCTG